CTGCGAATGCTAGTCTGCTAGTCGGCAGATTGCTACTATCATCGGACCATTGGGAAATGTGGTCTCAAATGACGCAGGCCTGTTCGTTTTTAAGTGGATTTCCGATGATTGACAAGGTATTGGTTTTCCCTTAGATCCTGCCCCACCATGGTGACGAATGGCCCCCCTTGCTTCACTGATGTTTTCAAACCCGGTTCAAAGACCCATTACTTGCTTTGTTTTGATTGTGTCACAGTCATGTATCATCTATTCATGTTGCGTTTACAAATTTCAGGAACTGCTGAACAAATTGGATGAAATCAGCCTGCCCAGCTTACATCACAGCGGCTGGTGTTATCAGGGATTTTTTTGGGCTTGGATTTTATTTGTAGGGTACCTTTTCAAAAAGTTAGCCAACACATTGACTAAAGTTCCTAAAGCACGCAAAGCATGAAAAGAAGGCCAAAGATAGAATTTCAGCCTTCTGTTAAGCCCTCAGTCCGCTAACCAACGAAATTGATCCAAATTGTTCTAATAATCAAAGGTTTGCCCGGGCTTTAAAAAAAACAACAACGTCACCCCCAAAAGACAAAACATACAAACAACGTGCAAGCTACCGTGCGTATTCTTAGCATTTCACGGCATACACACACATACACAACATACAATAACATACGCACACGCGCAACATACACACAACAAACAATAAAATAGCCAAAACATGGGGGTCTCGCAGCGAAAGGCAACAACAAACAACAGGCTCTTGCTGCAACTCAGGCAATCGAAAGGATGTCAAAAATAAAAATGCATTGCTTTACACAATGACTCGCATGCAATCGTCGGCTTCTGGATGTTTCGATCTATTGTATAAACATTTCAATTACATTAAAAATATGGGAAGACAGTGGCCCAGCATGCCACGTCATTAAATTTCCTCCCTGTTGATTGCATGTACAAGAAAAATGTACAAATAATTGCAGCATATGTTTTTCCAGCAAGAAGACAGTGGTAAGCCGTATGTTTACCACCCCACTTCAAGACTTTACTATTTTTTACTGTTTAGCTTAGTTTCCTTCAAGCTTATGACTCACACTCAATTTACTCAATACCTTTTGTAACTTTTGCTTTACTCAGGATACAAAGTTCCCTCAAGCATTCCCATGTGGTGATGAACAATTCCGGATTCCGTAGCGCTCCGGACCTTGCAGGGTTTGCCGATTCGGTAGCGCTCCGGACCTTGCAGGATTTTTTTAAAAATTAAAGTTTTACCCAAAAAATCAAAGGTGCTGTTAAGATATTCGCCTTGTACAGGGGGGGGGCAGTTTGCCCCCCTCCCCTGCAAGGTCGGTAGCGCTCCGGACCTTGCAGCCCCTCCCCTGTATTATCTTAACAGCGGATCGAAAATATTCAGAGGGGGGGCTGCACGCTCGAAAATCCATGCCCCAATGACTGGAGGGGAGAGGGGCTGCAAGGTCGGTAGCGCTCCGGACCTTGCAGGGGAGAGGAGCAGTTTGCCCCCCCCCCGTGCAAGGTGAATATCTTAACAGCGCCTTTGACTATTTGTAATACCCAATAATTAAAAAAAAATGCTGCAAGGTCCGGAGCGCTACCGAATCGGCAAAGCCTGCAAGGTCCAGAGCGTGACGCTACCGAATCCGAAACTGCTCATCACCACACGGGAAATGGGACCTTTGCATCCTGAGTTTGCCAACATATGAGACTGAGTAAACCAAAAGTTACAAAAGTTATTGAGTAAATTGAGTCAATTGAGTCATAAGCTTGAAGGAAACTAAGCTAAACTAGTAAATAGTAAAGTCTTGAAGTGGGGTAGACATATAGCTGCTTACGGTTCTGTTCCTGAGCCATTCCAGCCCACACTACACCTCAGAAAACATTACTGTAGTGAAGCAAGGGGGGCCATCTGTCATTATGGTGGGGCAGGATCCATTCTAAGGTAAAACCCACAACTTGTCAATCATCCGAAGTCCACTTAAAAGCAACAGGTCTGTGTCATTTGAGGCAACATTTCCCGATGGCAGCGGTGATCTGCCGACAATCAATACTCAATAATTCATGGCCAGACTATGCTAGATTGGCACTCGCAGAAGCCAGGGATTCAATCGAAACCAATTACATTATTTGGGAGTGTGCTATCACTTGCTTGGTTGGGGCAAAGGTATGGTTTCAGTGTCATTATTTGCTTGCATCGCCCATTCATAATCTTGTTTTGGATCTCAGGAACTGCTGAACAAATTGGATGAAATCAGCCTGCCCAGCTGACATCACAGCGCCTGGTGTTATCAAGGATTTTTTTGTTGGCTTGGGTTTTATTTGTAGGGTACCTTTTCAAAAAGTTAGCCAACACATTGACTAAAGTTCCTAAAGCACGCAAAGCATGAAAAGAAGGCCAAAGATAGAATTTCAGCCTTCTGTTAAGCCCTCAGTCCGCTAACCAACGAAATTGATCCAAATTGTTCTAATAATCAAAGGTTTGCCCGGGCTTAAAAAAAACAACAACGTCACCCCCAAAAGACAAAACATACAAACAACGTGCAAGCTACCGTGCGTATTCTTAGCATTTCACGGCGTACACACACATACACAACATACAATAACATACGCGCACGCGCAACATACACACAACAAACAATAAAATAGCCAAAACATGGGGGTCTCGCAGCGAAAGGCAACAACAAACAACAGGCTCTTGCTGCAACTCAGGCAATCGAAAGGATGTCAAAAATAAAAATGCATTGCTTTACACAATGACTCGCATGCAATCGTCGGCTTCTGGATGTTTCGATCTATTGTATAAACATTTCAATTACATTAAACATATGGGAAGACGGTGGCCCAGCATGCCACGTGATTATATATCCCCAATGATAAGAACATTGATAAAATGAACGATATTCCAAGAAACAAAAGGTAGTGACTATTTGACTATGTTAACATTAGGCCAGTTGACTAACTGTTTCTTTGACTAACTGTTTCTTTGACTAACTCTTTCTTTGACTAACTCTTTCCTTGACTAACTCTTTCTTTGACTAACTGTTTCTTTGACTAACTCTTTCTTTGACTAACTCTTTCTTTGACTAACTCTTTCTTTGACTAACTGTTTCTTTGACTAACTGTTTCTTTGACTAACTCTTTCTTTGACTAACTCTTTCTTTGACTAACTCTTTCTTTAACTAACTGTTTCTTTGACTAACTGTTTCTTTGACTAACTGTTTCTTTGACTAACTGTTTCTTTGACTAACTCTTTCTTTGACTAACTCTTTCTTTGACTAACTCTTTCTTTGACTAACTCTTTCTTTGACTAACTCTTTCTCTGACTAACTCTTTCTTTGACTAACTCTTTCTTTGACTAACTCTTTCTTTGACTAACTCTTTCTTTGACTAACTCTTTCTTTGACTAACTCTTTCTTTGACTAACTCTTTTTTTTCACTAACTGTTTCTTTGACTAACTCTTTCTTTGACTAACTGTTTCTTTGACTAACTCTTTCTTTGACTAACTCTTTCTTTAACTAACTGTTTCTTTGACTAACTGTTGCTTTGACTGACTCTTTCTTTTACTAACTCTTTCTTTGACTAACTCTTTCTTTGACTAACTGTTTCTTTGACTAACTGTTTCTTTGACTAACTCTTTCTTTGACTATCTGTTTCTTTGACTAACTCTTTCTTTGACTAACTGTTTCTTTGACTAACTGTTTCTTTGACTAACTGTTTCTTTGACATTCTAAAAGTCCGTAACACGGAAGTTTCTCCCACTAAACTTCCTTTGATTACTTCCTTAACACAATGGCATTTGACATGTGTCCACCTTTCTCTTCTGTTTCAAGAAGAATCTTCAAAGCTACAACTTACACTGCGCAATCTTCACCAAAAAATTGCATGCCTGCTGTTTAACCGTTAGTTTCTGCTTTTTAACGTCATAGTCTTTTGACAAAAAACAAAATGTAGTGTAATATAGTGATACGATGTAATACGTATAATTTGTCTAATGTACAATAGTCCTCTTTGCATGCCCCTAGGTTATATGGGGCTGGCGGTGTGTACTGTAGTTTTTTCGCACTAGTCTTCGCGGTCTGGACAAATATCTATAACGCTCGAGCTTTTTGGCTTGTCAGCTGACTTCTCCTGTGCCCTCTTCAATTTCGCCTCGCCTCGACCATGTCCAACCAGCAAGTGAGCAGTGGCTCTATTTCAGAACAGGCGACGGAATGTGTTCCAAACCCTGCCCGGCCTGATGGGAGGGCCATCCATTACGGAGATTTCTCGCGTCAGCGTAGTAGTTCACCTCCATTTGTTGGTGTCCGCAACCCTGCGCGCCCCGGGACGGAATGTATTCCAAACCCTGCCCGGCCTGATGGGAGGGCCATCCATTACGGAGATTTCTCGCGTCAGCGTAGTAGTTCACCTCCATTTGTTGGTGTCCGCAACCCTGCGCGCCCCGGGACGGAATGTATTCCAAACCCTGCCCGGCCTGATGGGAGGGCCATCCATTACGGAGATTTCTCGCGTCAGCGTAGTAGTTCACCTCCATTTGTTGGTGTCCGCAACCCTGCGCGCCCCGGAGGTGGTGCCATAGATTATGGCAGTTTTGGGTGTAAGAGTCGCTCCAGGACTCCTCCACCATCCGATCGCACCAATCGTCTGATTGGAGGATAGAAATTCCCGTAAACAAATGCAATGTAAAATATACTAGTCTTTCAAAATTTTAAAAAAAAGGTTAGTAGGAAAGTCTCAAGCGCAAAAATTTTCCTATTAGCGATTGGTGCGTAGAGGCAGTTTTCACAGCAGCATAAGACCTCAGCTTAGCAAAAGTGATGCTGCTGCGGCAGGGTCGACTCGTTGGTGACTTCAACGTGGTTCTGTGCAGACACAAGTCAAGCATAGTGAAGCAGATGGCGGGTTGAGGGGGGTCGTTGGGGGGGGCTGAGCATATATATATATATACACACACATAGGATACATATGTAGCTGGATACTTTTTCCACGTTGTTCCGCGTCCTCTGAGGCACCGGCCGAGGACGCGCCCGCGGCGCCCGTGGCTCCCGCGGCCGAAGGAGCTGAGGGTGCCGAGGGTGCCGAGGGCGCGGAGGAGGTGAAGGAATCCACGAAGCCCGACGCAGCTCTCAGTGCTGAGGAGGCCGAAATGGGAAAGGGCCATCTGTGGAATCTGTGGAATCTGTGGAATCTGGGTAAAGATTTTGGATATGGCTAGCCAGGTGAGGCTGTCTGTGTGATTTTGTTCTTCCCCAAAAAAAATGGCCAACGTCATCGCCGACGTGAGCACCGCCAGCCTGGGCCCCACCGGATTCCAGCACTAAGTTCGCCAACGAACACCATGCCAGATGTCAGGGAGAATGCCAGATGTCATATGCCAGATAGAACGCCAGTTAAACTGCCAGATAAACAGCCTGCCAGACCAGATTGAATGTCAGATCGAATGTCGGAATATACGTCAAAATAGATGCCAGTTAAAATGTCAGAGTACATGCCAGATAGAATGCCAGATGAAATGCCAGATAAATTGCCGAGAGAATGTCAGTTGGTGGGAATCACTCGAAGAACATACTGTAAATCTTTTTAGTGGTTTTACGATTCGTTTGCAAAAACTACCTGGGTCATTGGGTTCAGAGATCTAGGTCTTCGGGGTTTGAAATCTATTGTCAACGTATTGTAACTGGGTAATTTGGTGATGATTTTTCCATATCATCTCGACATATCTCGACCTGGCCGACCAAAATCCTAGCGTTTTGTGTACTAAACCGTGCTTTTGGAGGTCAACTGGAGCAGCAGATGCGACGATGATACAACGATGATAATGATGTTGGAACATGTTGGAACAGTATCATGAGGAGTGACCAACTTTTGGGTGAGAGATGCCCCATTTCGATGCGGCAGATGCGGGTGCAAGCCGGAGACACGGTCCCACTCGGTAGAGTTTGAGTGTCCCAATGCTTGGAAGTTCCTCTAAATTACAGTGCCAGTAGAAATAAGCATATTATGACGACCTGCTGTACAATTACTGGCTGCCCCAAGAATTGATGTTTGGAGCCATATCGTGATTAAATCTGCGGTCTCCGTTTGAATGACAGGAGCAATCTTGTTGCCACACATTTGTATTGTGACTTTGAAGACTGAAGCTGAAGTACCTACAGTAGACGTACTGAAAACACCGAGATTTACATCGCATTCCTACATCTACGCATAGGTATATGACCTCATAGTATCATATATATATATATTTACATGTACACGTTGCAGGCATATGAAAATTCAACCTGTTTCTTGCAGCTTCCGCTCCATCCCGTCCCCAGACCAAGCGCCTCTTGGGCGTGGTGCGTTTTGGTCAGTTGGATCATCAGCAGCTGCTGCTGGCTGTGAAGGATCCTGTGTTGGAGAAGGCCAGCTATGGCCCCTAAAAAGAAACCTGGGTCAAACCAAGTAGTCTATTCGTATGGTGTGTGAAATAGCATTAAACAGTTTTATGATTCTGATGTATTACAATGTAATGTACTACACTGTATTACATACATAGATATACACATATTTAGAAACAGACATACATCATACATACATATATATATATAATATAAATATATGTATGCAATGAATACTAT